CTTGCTGTGGACCCCGCTTCGCCTGTGGAGGACTGTCTGCCGACCCTCAACTCAGGTCCTGGACCTCGCCCCACGGTAATCTCCCCCCCGGACCAGCACAGAAATAAACAACTTTCTGACTTTTAGAAGATATCTGATAGAATTAAAGCTGTAAATTCACATTCTCTCTCTCTCTCTCTCTCTCTCTCTCTCTCTCTCTCTCTCACACACACACACACACACACACACACACACACTATATGATCTATTAAAATCATATAGATAACTACACATTAAAAGCAGTCAGCCTGTTAGACCAAGAAAGTATTCACCTGATGATACAAGGACAGCAAAGAGGGAGCCAGTCTAGCTTCTCCAGAGAGAGAGAGTTCCAATGTCTGGGAGCAACCAATGAGAAGGACCTCTCCCACTCTGTTCCACCCAAGTAACCTCCCTGGGTGCAAGCCTGGGCAGTGTGCATGGAGGTCTTGTGCTGCCCAGACAACAGGACCCCCCTCTTGACCTTGTTAATGCAGTCCAAAGAATAAGAGGAATAATGTGTTCAGCACCAGCTTGGCTGCAGAAGTTGACAGAAGGAGGATTACAAGGCACCATCCAACTGTCTTAGGGACTCCACTCTGGATTTATGTATGGTTTACTCCTTAGCCTTTTCTTCTCCTGAATATGTCCCACAGGGCAGAAGAGGTGTAGGACCAGAGTTTTCCTTCTCAGGGCTCCCTTCCCAGGCAGACAAACCCCATCTGCCCCTCACTTCTCTGTACAGCACATGCATAAACCACCCTCTTGACCATGGAACCAACTATTGATCTTGTCTCGCTCAATACACCACAGCCTGTCTTTGCATGCAGGTAAGTCCCTAACTTACCAAGGGTTTGAGACTACCGGCTACCCTCACCTGGTTTAGAAGGCCAGCTGAAGCCATTCCTGTGGTGTAGCAGCTATCGCATTCTGACAGCTTCTAGGAGCCATGGGTGAGAGCTGAGTGCAGGGTGGAGACCAAAGATGGACAAACTACCTCAGAAGGAGCACAGTGTCTCTCCCACCTATGTTAATATTATTTGTTATTATGTTATAGATTATTTGAATACACCTGTCAGGCCTTAAACTTAAGTCTCCAGGTGAAACATACCCAGTCCTTTCATCCATTCCTCAGAAGGATGAGGATGGGTAACCTGTGGCCTTCCAGATGTTTTCAAATTCTATCTCCCCTCACCCCTCACCATTGACACACTGGCTGTGGCTGATTGGAGTTGGAGCCCAGCAACATGGGGAAGGTTAACCATCCCTGTCACAGGACTTGGTTGACAGAGACCCCCTCACCATCCTGAAGACTCTCCTCTGGCCATGCTCTAGTTAGTCAATATCTTCCTTAAAATGTGGTGAGAAGAACTGGACATGATACTCCAGATGTGCCGAGGATCTGAAGGATGGGCATGTTTCCTTCTTATACTTTTGGTCCCTGTTTGATGGTAGACTCTAGTCACTCCAGCCCGTGTACACAGAAAACATTTTTCATATGCGGTGGGAGTGAAATATGGCTGTCACTCTCTGGCAGAAGTCAAAGGAGGACCTAATTTGTTGGGTGGAAAGAGTTAAATGAACTTTAACTGAAAAGCTCAGCCTCTCCCTCTCAGAGTAGAAAATAGCCAAGGGCAACAGCGGATGACTAATGTGTAGAATATTGCAATTAGTATAGCAAGGTACTTACAGGGATCAAATTAAAAAATTCATTAACGTACGCACTTAATTAAGAAACACTTTTCGGTTTACATGATAAATTATGACACCTATTAAATCTTCGAGTACAAGCTGTAATGGCTTCTTTGCTCCCGGGCAGAGGACTAGTGCCTTTGAGGTCCTTTGAACCTCCCCAAGGACCGCCAGCATTTGATACAAGTGTATTAAAAACAATGCCTCTTTTCCCCTCCCCGGAGAGGTACAAGCATTTCTTTGCTGGAAAACTCATTTCAAGTTGAAGAAAGCAACCCTGAGATTAAGAGAAAGACACATCACAAACACGGCGGAGCAGGGAATAAACAACCGAAAATAAAGTGACCTTGGGAAGAAAAGGAAATTCAGAAGGAAAAGGGGGAGGGAGCAGCTGGGGAAAGAGTTGAAAAGGGAGTGAAATAAGGGAATCACGGTGCGGTAGACTTACAAAGTGAACTCTTGAAATCTGTTTGAAATTTCTGTTTGAAACCTTTGAATCCAGACGTCCTGTTGCATGAATGGAAGGCACTTCTTAGCCGTGGTGATCTCACTTCTCTGTACCCTCCTCTCCATCCCCTTCAAAGCCACACTAGAGAAACTTCTGGAGTCTGCTTTGGAGGGAGCAGTTTGGGTTGCATTGGAAGAAAATTGAGGACTCCCATGCACAGATCCAAGCCACTAGCAAATCCCATTGAAAGCCATGGGGCTTTCTTCTGAGTGATGGGTTTAGAATTTCAGTATGGAGTAAGGATTCATTAGTATGATGCTGCTTTGTCACTGGGTTTTGGATAGAAGAGGGCTCATGGCAGAGCTTACTCAGTGGGCTGGGGCTGCAGCAATAGTCTCCCAGAAGTGCAATCGCTTAGTGGGAGGGTGAGGGCAGAGGTGGTGGTGAGGCCAGTGATGTGTGGATAATGTGGCAGAGACAGTGGCAGGAGTGCTGGACAGTCTTTGCCAGTACATCCGTGCAATCCCAACCTTGACATCACCTTGCTTTGTTGTTTAGTCATTTAGTCGTGTCCGACTCTTCGTGACCCCATGGACCAGAGCACCCCAGGCACTCCTGTCTTCCACTCCTCCCGCAGTTTAGTCAAACTCATGTTCATAGCTTCGAGAACACTGTCCAACCATCTCGTCAACTGTCATCCCCTTCTCCTTGTGCCCTCAATATTTCCCAACATCAGGGTCTTTTCCAGGGAGTCTTCTCTTCTCATGAGGTGGCCAAAGTTTTGGAGCCTCAGCTTCAGGATCTGTCCTTCCAGTGAGCACTCAGGGCTGATTTCCTTAAGAATGGATAGGTTTGATCTTCTTGCAGTCCATGGGACTCTCAAGAGTCTCTTCCAGCACCATAATTCATCACCATCGCCTTACCCCTCCCAATAAGCAGCCATGACTCCACTGCTGGGAGGCTATTGCTGTGGCTTTGTCCCCAACAGTGAGCCACTCCTAGCTAATGGAGCCAGAACGACTGCAAGGTTCTTTGATAACCCCATAGGAATTATGCCAAGTTTATATTTTGTTATGGAGTCTCCTTTTGATAGCTGGATTTCTAGATAATTCATTTCAAGAGAGTCAGGATTAGAATAATAGAATCATAGAGTTGGAAGGGACTCCCAGTGTCATCTAGTCCAACCCCCTGCAATGCAGGAATCTCAGCTAAAGCATCCATGACAGATGGCCACCCAACCTCTGCTTAGAAACCTCCAAGGAAGGAGAGTCCACCACCTCCCAAGGGAGACCATTCCACTGTCAAACAGCTCTTACTGCCAGAATTTCCCCCCTGATGTTTGGTTGCAATCTTCTTTCTTGTAACTTGAAGCCATTTGAGTCCCACCCTCCAGAGCAGGAGAAAACAAACTTGCTCCACCTCCCATGTGACAGCCATTTAGATATTTGAAAGTGGCTACCACATCTCCTCTCAGTTTCCTCTTTCACAGGCTAAACACATCCAGCTCCCTCAACCATTCCTCAAAAGGCTTGGTTTCCGGAAATGTGATAATCTTGGCCACACATTCCAGCTCGTCAATATCTTTCTTAAATTGTGGCACCCTGAACTGCACATAATACTCCATGTGTCGTCTGACCAAAGCAGAATAGAGTGGTACTATTGCTTCCCTTGATCTGGAGACTATACTTCTGTGAGCTCCCTGTTGATAGGGCACTTGGTAGCAATATTGGTTTGCCATCACCGTGTGCACCAGAACTAGGAATATTTCACTGTTCTTATGTCTAGTCCTCCTTCCTTCCTTTTTAAAAAAAAATCATCTGATTTTCCTTTTTCTTTGCCATCTACTTTCTATAAGGACATTCAGATTTTAAACTCCTGGGGTTTAAGGGACCTAACCTCTGCCCCACACCTTTTGCTTTTAAATATCTAAATAAAAAGTGTCATGTACCTTGATTAATGAATAAACATCTAACTATCATTAATCACCATTCCCTGGTTCTGTAGTTACAGTGGTACCTCGGGTTAAGAACTTAATTTGTTCTGGAGATCCGTTCTTAACCTGAAACTGTTCTTAACTTGAGGTACCACTTTAGCTAATGGGGCCTCCCGCTGCCGCTGTGCGATTTCTGTTCTCATCCTGAAGAAAGGTTCTTAACCCGAAGTACTATTTCTGGGTTGGCAGAGTCTGTAACCTGAAGTGTCCGTAACCTGAAGCGTCTGTAACCCGAGGTACCACTGTACATCCGGTTAATAGGTTGCTGAAGCAACAATACCACTTTCCCACCTTGGTTGGGTTCCAAAAGCCTGTTTCTGCTATTTATTTTCACAAATGTACCCATTTTTGCATTTACAGTGGTATCTCGGTTTACGAACTTAATCTGTTCCTGAAGTCCATTTTTAAAACGAAACCGTTCTTAAACCGAGGCACGCTTTCCCTAATGAGGCCTTCCGCCGCCAGTGCCCTTCCACCATTCAGATTCCATTCTTAGGCTGAGGTAAAGTTAGCAAACCGGGACACTGCTTCCAGTTTTGCGTAGTTCATAAACAGAATAGTTCGCAAACAGGGCTGTTCTTAAACCAAGGTACCACTGTACTTTTCACAAATACAGTGGGACCTCGGGTTAAGTACTTAATTCGTTCCAGAGGTCCGTTCTTAACCTGAAACTGTTCTTAACCTGAAGCACCGCTTTAGCTAATGGGGCCTCCTGCTGCCACCGCGCCACCAGAGCACGATTTCTGTTGTGTATGTAACCCGAGGTACCACTGTATAAGCATTTTGGAGGGAACTCATTTATTTATTTGAGAATTACACCACAAATTTCAGTAGGTAGGTCTCAAGACATACATAGCTCAGTTGGTAGAGCATAAGACTCTTAATCTTAGGGTCACGGGTTCAAGCCCCATGTTGCGCAAATGATTCCTGAATTTCAGAGGGTTGGACTAGATGACCCGCAGGGTCCCTTCCAACCCTATGATTCTAATCTTTTTGTGGGGTTTTCCTGCCTGATTCCTGCCTTTCCTTCCTGTGTGATGCCCTGTCCCCTAACAGCCACAGATCGCTAGTTCATCCAACCTATTTTATCCAATCCGTGGCTGTCTCAACCTTATTTGGATGGTGCCCAAATTCTTCTGAACAGACCCAATTTTGGATTCAGGTCCTGGCAAAATCCACCACACTGCCTATAAATGTAATGAATAAATAAATAAATAACATGAATCTATTGTGGAAAATTAATCCACTGAGAAAAAGTTTGTTTTTCTCTCTCCCTTGAAAGTTTCCAGGGTTTTGTTGTACGATTGTATGCACAGCTGTCTCGTTCCCTCATCCTCTAAAATGTCCACTAATACTTTCCACTAGGAATCTGTGTATCCATATATGATAATATCCACATCTCAACTGTCATCAGAAGTTGGCAAGCCGAGATATCTTTGCTTGGGAGTTGTTTCAGTAAATCCTTTGCCAAATTTGAGGGCTTGGCTATTTTCATTTGATGCGAGTGTGAAAATAATGTTATCTGTTTAAGTTGCTTCTTTGCACTTTCAAGGAACACTAATAAATAAAAAATGGGGCAAAATAGTAGAGTTTTGACAAGTGGTTTGTCTATAACATTCACTTATGGTTCGCGGCATTTGAAAACGAATAAATATCCAAGATGTTGGGGTTTAAACATTGGCTGCGGCACATAGATAAGCTGTCAATTGCTTCATCAAATCACAGAAGCATTTTCAGCCTTGCAATTCTCTGGGTTTTGTTTTTGTTTTGTTTTTGTTGCTAGAATTTGGCATTCTCCATCTACCTCTTGATTGGAACAGGGCTTTGGAGCAAGCACACAGTGATTAAATGGCAAGGCTGGCCCATCTCATTTTGCCACCTGAGGCGAACGTGAAGGTGCCACCCTCTGTATATGCTGTGTCCCCTCACGGCCTCTACCAAAGCCTCGCTGACTGGGGTCGCACAGCTGCGGGTTCCAACGAGATCTCACAAGAGCCCGAGAGGTTTCCACATAATGTCATAGGGCTTTCACACAATCTTGCCAGAACCTGGAAGCTGCAGCCGCCGCATCTCTTTGCTTCTCTGGAGGTGCCCCTTGGATTCTGCCACCTGAGGTACCTGGCTCATTCTGCCTTATGGATTCTGCCCTGTTAAAGGGCCTCTATGTCACAGAGTCATAGTGGAACCATGAAATTTATTTATTTATTTATTTATTTATATTGGCAACCCATCTGGCTGAGTTGTCCCAGCCACTCTGGGCAGTTTCCAACAAAATATTAAAACACAAAAAAACCTCAAACATTAAAAACTTCCCTGTCTTCTAAAAGCAAAATATTTGTTTATTTCCTTGCCATCTGATGGGAGGGCATTCCACAAGGCGGGTGCCACTACCAAAAAGGCCCTCTGCCTGGTTCCCTGTAACCTCACTTCTCGCAGTGAGGGAACCGCCAGAAGGCCCTCGGCGCTGGACCTCAGTGTCTATCCTTTGAAATTCACATTTATCTGAATTTTGTGATGCAGTTAATGAAAATACCATACAAAAATGCATATTAGGAAAAATGGCTTCTTAAAATGTGTACCTTATGTAAAACTGCACATAAAAACGTGTTTATTAGGAGACATTCACACTAAAATTTCCATGAGGATTTTTTAAAAGCCACAGATTGTTGCAAAATGTTCAGGACTGAATTTTAGATTAGAAAAATGAGAAACCGAGAAATTCCAATCAGATTCTCCCGTTCCTAGTGCCATTCAGTTTTGAAGAGCGATTTTAAGCATAGCTGTGTTTTGCTTTGTGCGTTGTTTTTTCCAAGCAGAATATCTGAACAAGGCTTGTGAGGCCATCAGAAAATAACATAAAAAGAGCCCTGCAGGTTCAGTTGAAAAGCCCATCATGTCAACCATTCTGTTCACCACAGCCTTCTCCTACTTGTGATTCCCCAGCTACTGACAATGACGAAGATAAAAACAACAACAACATCATCATCAACATCATCATTACTATTTACTCCTCACCCATCTGACTGGGTTACTCCAGCCACTCCAGGTGGCTTCCAACACATAAAAACAAAATCAAAAATAAAAAACTTTTCGATACTGATATTGGAGGCAATATAGCCATCCTGACTAGTAGCTGAAATGACTGGTCCTTTTGGGTTGTTTTGGGAAGGAGCGATCTTTTTCTCTGCCAAACAAGCAACCATTGCCAAATGCTCCTTCCCCCCCTGCTTTCTTTCTGGTTGGGATGCATCTGGATTTGTATCCTTTAATAGCAATATCTGCCATGTTCAATCCCCCCCTTTGAGGAGAAAGGAGACAGGTACACAAGGTAGGCTCGACAGAGGTTTAGTAACCATTAAGACGTCGATGAATGGTCAGCCACAAGGCTATTGCCATAAGCAGAGTCTGACCATGATACATGCCCTCAGGCTATTCTCATATACTCTTCTACTATCAGATAAATACATGAAATCCTCATGCCCATATCATTTATGCAACATTCTTCTTTGCTGGTGATCACTCATAGCCAAGTAATATGGTTTTAACAGTGAGTCTGTAAGTGATTGTGGAGGCCAATTCTGGATCCACACGTCCTTCCACATAGGTTTCTGGGCAGGAGTTAAGTACGGTGTGGATTTGCCATGCGTGCCTTCCTCTTAGTTCGAGTGTTTTCAAAGCCCACGACACCTTTGGTAAAGGCTGTTCTCCAATTGGAGTGTTTGCAAGCCAGTGTATTCCAGTTGTTGGTGCTTATACTACATTTTTTTAGATTTGCCTTGAGAGAGTCACCTCTTTTGTTAACTACTAGCATTACGTTTCCATTTTTAAGTTCGGAATAGAGTAGTTGCTTAGGAAGACGATAATCAGGCATCTGCACAACATGACCAGTCCAACGAAGTTGATGTTGAAAAACATTATTGGCTACAGCAAAGCGTGAACAGCTCATGGACACTCTACCTGATGTTCCAATTGGACATCCCATATTGTTGATTTCCACTTAGAAACTCCAGTTATCTTATCAAGGTGCCACCCTTAACCATTCTTTTCCAGCAGGTTTTTTGCTTACACATTCCGTTACCCTTCCCTCCCAGACTTGTCCTTGGCAATTGTCCTTGTTGGTGCCAACCCTTATTATTACATTCCAATATGTTTTCCTCTTATCTGGTCAGTTATTAATCTCCTGTCAAAGAACATACCGTATTTTTCGCTCTATAGGACGCACTTTTCCCCCTCCAAAAATTAAGGGGAAATGTGTGTGCGTCCTATGGAGCGAATTAAGGTCCTTGGCTTCGGCGATAGCAACTGCTGCACTCCGGAGGCTTTGGGTTCCTTTTGCTGAAGCCGGGAGAGCAAGACTCTTCAGGCTTCAGCAAAGAGGGAGAGCTGCACAGCGCCCCTTCAGCGAAGCGGGAGGAGATATGGAAGGGGCTCCGTTTCTCCTGCTGCTTCGCTGAAGGGGCGCTGAGCAGAGGGGGGGGATTCTTTTTTCTTGTTCTCCCCTACTAAAACAAGGTGCGTCCTTGGTCGGGTGCGTCCTATAGAGCGAAAAATACGGTAGTTGCTGAGGGCAAGGTCCTTTCTGCTCACCTACACTGCTTTGGGCAAGCATTTCTGACTCTTAAGCATAGACAGCAGTTTTGATTTTAACTACTTCTGTAATATGCATATCATTATACAGTGGTACCTCAGGTTACAGTCACTTCAGGTTACAGACGCTTCAGGTTACAGACTCCGCTAACCCAGAAATAGTACCTCGGGTTAAGAACTTTGCTTCAGGATGAGAACAGAAATCGTGCTCCGGCGGCGCGGCAGCAGCAGGAGGCCCCATTAGCTAAAATGATGTCTCAGGTTAAGAACACTTTCAGTTAAGAACGGATCTCCAGAACGAATTAAGTTCTTAACCCAAGGTACCACTGTACATGTCATATATATCTAATACACATATTTCTAACAGTGGGCTTGACAGATGTAAGTGACATGATCATATTGAACCTTTTGTGGCTGAGGTTGGCACTGGTATTCAGTGACCTCTCCCAAGAATGAATATTGACCAAGGTGTGTCTTGTTTTTATCTCCCCAAGGTACCAGAGAGTTTGCTGTTCAATGAGACGCAAACTCCATTGCTAATAATTTCCACTGGGTTACTTGCGTGAATCAATACCCAGGAAGGTCAGGCACAAATTAGTATCAGCTTGTACGTAAGTCATGGAGGTAATCAGTGGAAGCTAATTGGTGGAAGTTCTGATTTCTGCAGGCATATCCGCTGCCTTAACATGCTATCCTCAACATCATGGAAGGGTTGTTTCCAGTTCTGCCAACCTTTGCCCTTGGAAGCCTTATATGAAGTTGCTGCAAGAGAGGGACTGTGAGCAACATCATGGAAGGAGGGTTTCTGGGACTAAGGCACAGATTCTTAACTTTCATTTGTTAAAAGGCAAGTCATCGGACATCTGTAAAGTTAGAAAGCAAAAGGTTGAGGCAATGTTCTAGAACAGAAAAGCTCCTATTGCTAAGGACACATAATCACTTAACCATGTTGCTAAGCAATCAGAGGAAGGAATGCTCATCCCTCCCACCTGAGACTTAGGAGGAGTCCTCCCATCATATCTTGCTTTTCCTCCCAGGAGATCATAGAATCATAGAGATGGGACCATAAGGGTCATCAATCCATCTGCCTGCAATGCAAGAATCTTTTGCCCAATGTGGGGCTCAAACTCACAATCCTAAGAGTCTTATGTTCAACTGAGCCATCTGAGTCATATACATTCCCCTTCCCCCTTTTTAACTTCACAACACCCCGTGAGGTAGGCCAGACTGAGAGTTAGTAGAAACTCTTTTCTTTTCCTCGACCTGGCCACAGTGATCCATGCGACGGTCACCTCCAGGCTTGACTACTGTAATTCACTCTACGCAGGACTGC